AAATTCACTTAATGAGGTTTTTAGGTCAATAGACCCGCACCAGTTTTTATGTGTACGTACTGAATGAACGAAAAATTGTATTAATAGTTTACAAGTAATCTATTAGTAATAATTTTTATTTGTAAAAACCTCATTAAGTGAATTTAATTTATTTTATTTTTATAAATATTCATTATTAATGATTCAAAATGAACACATGCTTAGTAAATAATATGACACATATTGTAGTTTTAGATAAAATATTTAAGTTTATTATTCAGAGATTGTTATGCCTTACAGAAAGCCTATCAAGTTAAATGAACCAGGTATGAATATATAGAATTAAAATGAATTTTCAATGCATTAATAAATATTCTGACAAAAGTTATTATTTTTACAAATTACTAATATTTTATAATATTTTAGGGGTCATTCATTTAATGCATGCCCACATTTTTCATTCCTACTTATTACCTAATATATTAGTCATGTCGCATAGGTCTTCCAAGATAAAATTATTATCGTTATAAATCATTATGGTACTGAATCGGATCACTTCTATTAATAACATGAAAATAAATACCAAGGTCCATATGAAACGTCGCGTACTTTTTAGCCCGACTCATATTCATCGAAATTATTACAAATAAGAAAATAACTCGTTTAAACACTAATGATAGCTTATTATTCAAAAATATTTTTTAAACATTCATATTTATAGTTTATCGTGATAGGAAAATTATCATAATTCAATACATAACTAAATCTATTGCTTTTATTAATATTGTTAAATTAATTAAATTACAATAAGTGTGAAAATAATAACATTTAAAACGGTGTATATTGTGGTGTCGTATGTGTTATGTTTGATGGGATGTATGTATCAAACGTATAAAATAAGTGAACTATACTTCGGATACCAAACCACTGTTAATGTCTACTACGAGTCACCTAATAATGAACTAGCGCATACTGCATTTACAATATGTATGGGGAAATTATTCCAAATCAAACTTGATATCTTTAAACTTTTAATCGCAAAAGTAAATGGAACTGGTAAGATTTTAAAATTATCATTTAAGTAATTTAAAAATATGTCAAATTTTTTAACAGGACCCCAAATTGATAAAATATATTGGTTGATTAATAAATTATCAATTGGAGCTCAATTTGATGCATTACAAGATCCTGAACAATTTTATTACAGTGCTATATTTACTGACAAAGATACCCAGACACCCTTAACAAACTATTTTGACTAGTCAATGGATTATGCTTATCGATGCGCTACTATTTATCCTGATAGACATAATATAAGTAGTGAAAATGTATTTTCATTGCAAATTGTTTTGAACGTGCTAAGTTTAACAAATTCTAAATCTCACGATTTTGTTCAGATTTTTGTACATTCAAAACATCGACGTATTAGTGACACTCTAATTACGTCGGAAAATCATAAAAAACTTCAGGTTAAACTTAATCATAGAATGTATTTGATGTATAGACAAACGATCGTGAAATATAACCTTGGTGATAATCTTAATAATAAGTTTTGTATCGATGATGGTATGGATAGAATGGAATGTATGGCACAATGTAGGTATAGGTTACATATGCTACATAGTAGCAATAATTACACATACAGCAACCTACAGTTTGTTCATAAAACTGACACTCGACATCTAAAATATGACCTATATAATATAACATTTGATTTGCAAACAAGAGCAAATTATTTCAGTGAATGTCACACTGAGTGCAAAAATAGGGTGGACTGTATTCAATATTATTATAGTGTTGACACGACTTCCGAGATAACGGTAACACATTTTTATCAACTTTATATTCACCAACAGTTGGACCAAATGGTCGTATACGAGATATCACTGAAAATATCTTTCGAGGAGTACTTGAGTCTAACGGCGAGTATTATAAGCCTATGGTTTGGCTTCTCTATTGCTATACTCACGGAATTTATTAGGAATATTCTTATCAAGCTCAAAATTAAAAATTCACTTAATAAGTGTTTCTACATTAGCATTAACAATTACAACAAAGTCAAATATTATACTGGACATAAGAAACATAAAGTTGTCATAAAACCAAATAATATTGCAGTAAAAGGGTTGCCTAACAGATGGTGAGATACAGTATATAAACTAAATTACATAATTGATAATTTATATATTCATATGCCCAAGTATAAAAATGTAACATTTTACGTTACAGAGTAAGTATAATCTTTATGTTAATAGCATGTTCCTGAATATATAATTTATAATTGCATATAATGCCATGCATATGATGTTAAACTACAGTATATGTTATAGTATGAGAATAAAAAAGTTTAAAAAATACCAAAACTTTGGTTTTATTTGAAAAACTTATAACATAAATGTGTAAACAATAAATCTTTCAATTAATAACAAATACGCGGTAATCCATAGGTCCGGTTTCATATACTCAAAACATATAAATTTACATTTATTTTAAATTTTTTAAATTGTATATGATGATTTTATGCATTCTTAAGGATTTTAAAATTTTGTTAACGCATGCTGTAAATCATAGTTTTGCATTTACTCTACACACTCAGCAGGTATTAGTTTATTTAGCCAGTATATAAATCATGCAACAATTATGCGTAAAACTTTAATTTTATTTGTTATTATATATTATTAAATATTATTAAATTAATTAAAAATTTTAATTATTATAAATTAACAAATTAAATTCTCATTAGTACATTGTTATGTGTTAATATAACTTATAAAGCTAATAGCACCATTAGTTCATACCACCCAACTGACCCAGTTAAACCGGCACTGATACCACTACCATGGTGTATCAGCACCGTTTGCACCGACTGAACCAGGTCCAGCAGCATCACCACCATTATCGGTAACAATTTTCATACCTCTATAGCTGTCAACGTGTCGGAGCTGTACGACTGTCCCCTCGCCTACAACATCACATATTAAGGGTTATTTATAAAATAATGTTGTCTAGAACATTACCCTATTCACTTTGATCATAATATTAATAACCAATATTTATCTAAATGTATCATGTTAAATATTTTTAAAATTATACATACCCTGTCCATATCTATATCCAGTTCCGTTATAAACACCGTTATAACTACCAATGTCATTACCATTTATACCAACTTAACCAGGTCTAGCACCAGGACCACCACTACCGGTAACAATATGGGCACCACCAAAATGCTGTACGACTGCCCCTTTGCAAACTACTAGGGCTGCTACTAATACACAATTTTGTACATAGTTTTTATGTTAACTATATGTGAATAATGAATTTAAATCTCAAAACTACATCACCTTTTATATGTATATTTGAGCTTGATATATTTTTTGAATAATGGAAACACGGATACTTTTGTTCAAATTAATCATTAATGTTATAAGTACATTAATGATACAGGTAAAATTATACGTTTATTATTGTTCACATAATTTGTCAATGTCAAATTATTTTATATAACTTCTGTGAATGTCAAGTTCATTTTGTTGGGCACGCAAACAATATGAACATACTGATAATTAATTAATATTTATGTTGCATAACACAATAATATAATAAACTAACATATAAAATCTATAATAATTATATTTTTATTTAAACAATTAAATAATTTTTTGTAAAAATAATTGTTAGGTTTAGAAAGTGTTAGGTTACTTACATGTTTAAACATTGAGTTTCACTTAATTCAAATTCTTTCAACCAATTTCAATTCATTAATAGATTAATACAGTTTTTAACACTAGGTGATTTAAAATTTTGTAACTCAATGTGTTTAAAAGTATGTGTTTTAACAGATATGCACTGAATTTACTTACAATTTAGGGCACTATATTTGCCAAATTATTAACACCTTCCCCCTTTCTACCAAGTTTGTATTCATATAGGCCTACAGTATAACCTATTTAAAAATCATAGGTCAACCGTGGATTACATTTATTAACTAATTAACTAACTAACTGATAAATATATTTATATTATATTAAATATATTTCAAATTGTGAAAAGTATACTTTATGATTATAACTTATAAAATAAAATATAATGAATGATTTATTAATTCATCAGGTGTTATTTGTGGTTTACCCTTGATGTATTTTGTAGAATCTATTAAATGTTTTTATTTATCGTATTTATCAAGAATATATAAATTATGCATTATGCTTGAAATTATAATTTTATTTTTATTAAAACATTATTAAATAAATTAAAAATTTTGTAATCAGAGTATTTAAACATTAATATAGCTTTTCAAAAAGTTATAGAAGCAACTAATTTTAATTTTTAATTATTATAAACTTAACAAATTAAATTCTGTTTGGTACATTGTTATTTATTTAAATCCAAAGCTTAATGAACCTCCATTTCCACCTAAAACACTACCGGTTTGACCACCATATGAACCTGATCCAGTGCCAGCACTTACGATATCACCAAGAGGATTTTCTGCACAGTTACCACCTTGCTCAGTGCCACCAGTTATTTTCCCAATTAAACCTGTGCCACCATTTAAAACACCTAGATTAATTATTAAATTAAAATTGTTTAGAAAATTTAATTCAATTAAATTAATAGAATAATAATAAATAAGATTTATCTAGATTATTTTTATTTTCAAATTTTTATAATTAATTAAACATACCACCACTTGTTACTTTTCCAAATAAATCTTTCCCTGTTCCATAGGCACCTAGATTAAATATAAACATATTGAAATTATATAATACAGAATATTAATAATTTATAATATGTAATAGTCACAATTAAAATTTATCTAGTTTATATTATTCATAATTCATTATGAGAATGTATAATACATTAAATTAACAAACCTTTAACAATGTCACCATTTATTAGACCCCCGATAACACCAGTATTCAAAACTTTATCTCCAACTGCGGCTCCCTTTTCAATAACTCCCGTTACAGCACCGGTAGCTTTGCCTAACATAGTGTCCTCACCGCCTAACGCGCCCTTCACGCCACCCATCGTTTCCCTCAATCCGGCGCCGACACCCGTACCGACGGCCGTACCGATAGCACCACTGACACCACCCCCGGCAACATAATTAACAGCATGGTCAACCAAACTTTCCTTGCCGTCTAAAACACCTGTCACATCACCCGTCAATATTGGTCATTAAGTTATTTAAGTTTAGGTCAATTGGTTTTGAGGTCAATTTGCCAGTTTCCCATAAAAACACATAATAAACCCAATAATTTTTCATTCCTAGTAATAACCAATTAGTGATCTGTTTATCATATGGGTTTTAAGCATAATGCTGCTTAAAATGTGCCTTGAATATTAAGAATGGACAAATAAGTTATTTGTTTTAAATGTATTTAACGATATCAAATATAATAAACAAGGTGAGATTAGAAAATTTAATATCAGAAAATTGGCCATGTTTATTTAACTGTTTATTTGAATATATACAAGTTTGTATAATGCACCAATAGTATATTTGTGGACAATTGGTGTAACATTGTTGTTTTTAATACCAATATATAAAATCAAGGAATTAACTATTTTTTCCGTTACAGATTTAATACTCGAAAACTGATAATCCAATCCTAATCCTCTCTTCACTGTTTTATAGCCCATACTTTGTGGATTGTAAAAATAATTTTTATTGTATACAAAACTACCATGGTAACTGCGCTATTTAAGTTTGCAAAAAGAGGTTTTTTCATTGAAATACATTAGTTTTTGTCACAAAAAAATACAAAATGCAAAACTGATGTTTATGAACTCCATTTATTCCTAAACTAACCATGATAAAATTACCTCATTTAAAGGGAATTTGTATAATTTGGTTTTGATTATTTTCTTGAAGACATTTTATCTCTACACTATGTTTAAGGAAATAAACAGTCATTGTATGTACAGCAAAAACTATACTAGGTAAAATTAATCTAATAACTGGATTTGAAAGATAATTTAAAATGAGCGAGTACCTATTTCAGGAAGTTTTTATTAACATTAAATTTCTTAGTGATTACAATTATAAATCCATAAATTTATGTAAAATTGTATTTTAAATATTAAATTCTTTAATTAAAAATTTTAATTTGATGTTAATAAAAACTTCCTGAAATAGGTACTCACTCATTTTAAATTATCTTTCAAATTCAGTTATCAGATTAATTTTATCTAGTATTGTTTTTGCTGTACATAGAATGACTGTTTATTGCCTTAAACATTGTGTAGAGACATAATGTCTTCGAGAAAATAATCAAAACCAAATTATACAAATTCCCTTTAAATGGGGTAATTTTATTATGGTTAGTTTAGGAATAAATGGAGTTTATAAACACCAATTTTATTACAATGCATTTTCTATGACCAAAACCAATGTATTTTCAATGGAAAAACCTCTTTTTGTAAACTTAAATGGCGTAGTTACCATGATAGATTTCTATACAATAAAAATTATTTTCACAATCCATAAAGTATGGGTTATAAAACTGTGAAGAGAGGGTTAGGATTGGATTATCCGTTTTGGAGTATTAAATCTGTAACGGAAAAAATAGTTAATTCCATGATTTATATTGCTTATTTCGATAATAACCACCAAGCATCTATTATAACGATAATTATATGGGGTGTCATTACCATGATAACTTTAAATCAGCATATGTATATTTTAACAGCAGGGCCACTTCTTGCTTTGACTATTACGTTGTATTTAAGTTACAGTTTCGATGACATTAGCACTCGGATAGAGGTGTCCGCCAAACTTGGACTCAATAGACGTTTATTTTTCAATATTGCTAAACATAACCCTATTTCACAAATCACGCGTAAGTTGAACAAGTTTATGTCCAAGATTGTTTTTATCTTATAAATTATGGCGATACCTGTGTGTCAACTCGCACTATACTGTACACAACCAAGTTTCACAATTATACTTTCGGCTAACCATGATCATGGTGACTTTATTTTTGGTGACACTCTTTTTCGCGCAAAACATTTCGTTCGCAATGATATCGAAAAGCGCTCACAAATGCTATCCATTGTTGTTCTCAACACTAATGATTCGTTCACTGACTTATAGACAGAGATTGAGAATCGAGTCAATGATTAGCCGACTGTCGGGTCCTGTCATTGGTTTCTATTGTCTCGACTTATTTCCCATCAATTCTTATGAATTCTTTCAACTCATCTATATTTCGGGTTTAAATTATTTCTTTATTATTAGTTTATTTTAAATAAACGATTTAAACATTTGCTGTATTTATTATTTGCAATAAAATACTTTTACATAATTATCAATCAATTAATAATCTTTAAAGCATGTCTACAATATATTCAACTATATATTATATCTTAATTAAATATATTTACTAGTATTAATAATAAAATAATCAAATGTAATTAAAGTACATTGTATATTAATACAATGTTAATAAACGTTAGTATACATTATTCAATTATCGGTGTGGTAACTCAGTAACTACAATAATATTATTTTGTTTTATGACAACTGTATGTTTCCTATGTCGAATATAATTGCTGACCCTGTTGTAATTATTTTTAATGTTAATGTTGAAGCACTTTATAATTGAATTTTTAATTTTAAATTTAATAAATATATCCTTGATGAATTGCGTGAACATAACGATAGAGAAGCCAAACCATAGGCTTATAATACTCGCCGTTAGACTTAAGTACTCCTCGAAAGACATTTTCAGTGATATCTCGTATACGACTATTTGGTCCAACTGTTGGTAAATATAAATTTCGTAATTATCATAATCAAATGCAATTGTCTCGGGAAACAGGTCAACATTATAATGGTATTGAATACAGTCCACCCTATTTTTGCACTCCGTATTACATTCACGGAAATAATTAACATTGTTTTCGAAATTATATTTTAAATCATATAGGTGCTTCATGTGCTGCATCATGGTGGTTTTATGAAATAATTGATAATAGATGTAATTTGAATTATTTGTGTGTAACGCATATAACCTCTGTTTACATTGGGCAGTACATTCCTGACTATCCATACTGTCATCGATACACTTCAGTTTATTAAGACTTTCACCAAGGTTATATTTCACGATCGTTTGCCTATACACCAAAACAATTCGGTGACGACGTTTAAGTTGAAACCGTTTATAATTTGCCGACGGTTTTTCAATATCAAGAATACGTCGATGTTTTGAGTGCACATATACTTTCACAAAATCGTTTAATCCATTATTTGTTAGATATAGCTTTTTTATTAAAATCTGCAATGCAAAAACATTTTCACTATTGATATTATATTTATTAGGATCAATAGTAGCACACCGATATATATGATCAATTGACTCGTTAAAATAACCATTTGTTAAGTGTATCATTTTATCATTATCTAAATATATATTACTATAATAAAACTGTTCAGGTCCTANAATTCTTATGAATTCTTTCAACTCATCTATATTTCGGGTTTAAATTATTTCTTTATTATTAGTTTATTTTAAATAAACGATTTAAACATTTGCTGTATTTATTATTTGCAATAAAATACTTTTACATAATTATCAATCAATTAATAATCTTTAAAGCATGTCTACAATATATTCAACTATATATTATATCTTAATTAAATATATTTACTAGTATTAATAATAAAATAATCAAATGTAATTAAAGTACATTGTATATTAATACAATGTTAATAAACGTTAGTATACATTATTCAATTATCGGTGTGGTAACTCAGTAACTACAATAATATTATTTTGTTTTATGACAACTGTATGTTTCCTATGTCGAATATAATTGCTGACCCTGTTGTAATTATTTTTAATGTTAATGTTGAAGCACTTTATAATTGAATTTTTAATTTTAAATTTAATAAATATATCCTTGATGAATTGCGTGAACATAACGATAGAGAAGCCAAACCATAGGCTTATAATACTCGCCGTTAGACTTAAGTACTCCTCGAAAGACATTTTCAGTGATATCTCGTATACGACTATTTGGTCCAACTGTTGGTAAATATAAATTTCGTAATTATCATAATCAAATGCAATTGTCTCGGGAAACAGGTCAACATTATAATGGTATTGAATACAGTCCACCCTATTTTTGCACTCCGTATTACATTCACGGAAATAATTAACATTGTTTTCGAAATTATATTTTAAATCATATAGGTGCTTCATGTGCTGCATCATGGTGGTTTTATGAAATAATTGATAATAGATGTAATTTGAATTATTTGTGTGTAACGCATATAACCTCTGTTTACATTGGGCAGTACATTCCTGACTATCCATACTGTCATCGATACACTTCAGTTTATTAAGACTTTCACCAAGGTTATATTTCACGATCGTTTGCCTATACACCAAAACAATTCGGTGACGACGTTTAAGTTGAAACCGTTTATAATTTGCCGACGGTTTTTCAATATCAAGAATACGTCGATGTTTTGAGTGCACATATACTTTCACAAAATCGTTTAATCCATTATTTGTTAGATATAGCTTTTTTATTAAAATCTGCAATGCAAAAACATTTTCACTATTGATATTATATTTATTAGGATCAATAGTAGCACACCGATATATATGATCAATTGACTCGTTAAAATAACCATTTGTTAAGTGTATCATTTTATCATTATCTAAATATATATTACTATAATAAAACTGTTCAGGTCCTAATAATACATCAAATTGAGCTCCGATTGAAAGATTATTAACCAACCAATATAAATCATCAAGTTCGTTTTCTGTTTAAAAAAATGGAACATATTTTATGGGACATAAACTAAAATTTTAAATTCTTACCAGTTTGGTTTGCATATTTAATCAAATGTTCTTTGATATCAGGTTTAATTTGAAAAACTTTTAACATGCACAATGTAAATGCATTATGCGCTACATCATTATTCGGTGTTTCGTATCGGATATTAGTAGTGGTTTGGTATCCGAAGTATAGTTCACTTATTTTATACGTTTGATACACACATCCCAACAAACATAACACATACGACATGATAGTATACAACGTATTTAATGATATAAATTTCATAGTTACTGTGATTTAAATTAATTACATTTACAATAATTATAAAACAATTAGATTTAATTATGTTTTATATTCATGATAATCTTACTCAAATTCACTATAATACCTGTAGGTTTGACAATAGTTTAATTTATGTTTCATTGTGTTTATGAACTTTAATAAAAGTATATAATGTTATTATATATATTTTTACTCTATAGATAAACTAATTATTTATTTAATATCGTAATATTTAATAATTAATTTAATTTAATATTTAATTATTTCGAATTTATTATTCTATTACTTTATTATATCGATAGTTTAATTTTGAATTACGAAATAATTAAGTAATACCGATATTTTTGTTAATTATAGTGTCAGTACAACATTATAGAAATATTAATCTGAAATTGCTCGAAAAACTATAATTAAATTTTCTATTATTTATAAGTTTATTACTATTTAACTTATAAAATTACAAAAATAATTTTTTCATAATAATACATTATTTAATAAGCTTATATTATGTTGTTAATTTTGATAAATTACATTGACAATTTCAGGACTATATATTCTGGAGATCT